CCAAGTTGACTGTTTTGAGCGATTTTTCAATTCTTTGCTAAAATTATAATTTCATTATTTAGATTAGTTTCCTGTAGTTATATTTATAGTATGTAATTGTTTTTGGCTAGATTTAGGTTGTATTGAGTCAGAAAATCGAGGGAAAGACCTTCTTATTTACTGATTGAGAGTGATTTGAGGTAAGTGACTTGTCTAACCTTGTGTGGGAGAAATTTTCCTTAGGATTTGGTATTGTTATGGTAATTTGCAATATGTGAAGGCCGTGCACGCAAGGCGACGAGTGCATACACGGGCTAAATATTGAAAATTCGGTTCTAGCTAAGTAGTATCCTTTTATGCTTTAATTGAGTTACTTTAGCATGTATAGTCATCATGCTTAGCCTAATTTCACATGTCTACTTGTCTTATCTTTTATTTGCAACTTGTACTACATGCTTAGTTGAATTACCTATTTTCTTGACTCCGTATTCATTTTTTAACTGTGGGATATTTTTACTAGAAATTGTTATCCTTGAAATATCATTTTTTTCAATTGTTATGTTTTGGTTTTTGTGATTATTGTTGAGGTGACGGTTGTTGTTTGTACGAAGTTTCTGTCGTGATATTATTATTGTTGCACGAGATGATAGCCGTGCGGTTGTTATTGTTTGAACGAGGTTTCTGTCGTGCCATTGTGATTATTGATATACATGCGGTGGTATAAGGTCTGGGTGTTGATACGCATGCGATGAGATAAGGTGGGATTGATACGCGTGGTTAGTAGGGGAACTACTAGAAGCCATGCGGTGTGATAAGATGGGCTAAAACACGGGATGCTATTTCGGGAAAATAATTTTCAAAACAAATATAAGGCTTCCATGGTGATATAAGGAAAGACTGTGAGATATTTTACTATTGGGACTACGAGGCGGTACCTCGGGAGTTCCCCTGTTGATTTCCTTTATTTGCCGTATTGTTTGTTGTTGTTTTTCCTTAACTTGTAAGATTTTTGATTCCTTTCATGCTGTATTTGCTTTCTTTGATTCCGTGTTGTTACCTTCCGTAAATTCTTATTGTTTCACTTCCCTGTCATTTTATTATATCATTATATCTCCTGCCTTGTTTCTTATTATTTTCAGTAGGGCCCTGACTTGACCTCGTCACTACTCTACCGAGGTTAGGCTTGGCACTTATTGGGTACCGTTGCGGTGTACTCATACTACACTTCTGCACATGTTTGTGCAGATCCTGGTACATCTTATCAGCCTCGGTGTTAGAGAGTTGTGTTGCTGCTTGGAGACTTCAAGGTACACCTGCCCGCGTCCGTAGGCCTTGGAGTCCCCTTCTGTCCCGTCTTTTCGTTGTTTCTTTATGTTGTTGATAGAGAGTGATGTATAGGATATTTGCAACATTGTATCTAGAGCTTGTGACTTATACCTCATCGGGTTTTGGGAGTTATATATATTTTGAGTTGCAGTTTTTACTTTATACAGTTGTTGAGGTTTTCAGCTTTTAGATTATTATTTCAATTATTCTGCATGCTTTTTAGGCTTACCTAGTGTTAGAGACTAGGTGCCGTCACGACATCCTACGGAGGAAAACTTGAGTCATGACATCAATGTTCCAGTAATTACAATCAAAGCCTTTTTCTACAAGACCTTGAGCATTCGCTAATAAAAAATTATAACAATATTTTAAATTGGAAGAGGATTATTGAAAACTCAGATCTCGTATAAATTGTCTTAATGATGGTGATGTTAATACGAGATTTTTTCATATCCCAACATCCAACAGTAGAAGACAAAATCATATTAGTTTCTTTAAGAATGATCGGGGAGATTGGATTGATAACCAGAATGATCTCTTAGATTATACCCTAGCCCATTTTAACATTGTTTTTACAACAAATTATGTGGCAACTAACTGGTCTAATATCAAATTAAGCTCCACTACTTTTGAAAAATTAGACCTGACGGCTTTAGATAAGCCCCTCCAAGATAGCGAAATTAATTCAGCCATCTTCTCTTTAAACCATTCAAGTCACCTGGCCCGATGGTTTGCACCCTTTTTCTTATCAAAAATACTAGCACATTATTGGTTAACCCGTGAGTACCTTTTGTCACAAAGTCTTTAATGATAGCTCAATTCCTCCTGATATTAACTCCACTTATTTATGTTTAATTCCTAAATTTCCTAACGCTAATACTCTTAGCAATTTCCGTCCTATTAGCTTGTGTAACACCATTTATAAAACAATCACTAAAATTATTGCTAATAGACTAAAACCCTTCCTTGATAAGTTAATTAACCCTACCCAAATTAGCTTCATTAAAAATAGAAGAGCTAGTGACAATGCCATAATCATCCAAGAACGCATTCATCAATCCAAAATATGTAGAGGCAAGACTGGCAATATGCTAATCAAGATTGACTTAGAGAAAGCATTTGATAAACTGGAGTGGTCGTTTATTTATAGAACTCTTCTTTACTTTATATTCCCTACTAAATTTTCTAAATTAATTATGTCGAGTATAACAACTTTTTCTATGGCAGTACTGGTAAATGGAGCCAAAACAAACTTATCCAAGTAGAGGTATTAGGCAAGGGGACCCTATTTCTCCGTACATTTTTATATTATGTATGGAGATGCTATCTAGGTGCACAAACCACCAGGTTGACATTAGAAAATGGGACCCTATAAGTTTAAGTTATAAATGTCCTCCTTTGTCATACTTATTTTTCGCAAATGACCTAGTTCTAATGGGGAAAGCTAATAGTAAAACATGCTCCACAAAAAATAATCTCCTTTGGACAAACGACCAATTACAAAAAATCTAGAATCATCCTGTGAAAGAACTGTAACACCATCACTACTACCTAGGGATCAAAAGTAATAAATTCTTTGGAAGATATCTAGGATCCCAATAATTAATGGTAATCCTACTTACAAAGATTATCAACACATTATTGATAGCATGCGAGTAAAACTTTCAGGACGGAAAACAAAGTGCTTGAACTTAGCTAGTAGAGCAACACTTATATCATCAACCCGATCAAGTCAACCAGCCTACTATATGCAATATACTCTACTATGCTCCAAAACTCTGAAACTATCTATCAAATTCAAAGAAACTTCTTATGAGGTACTAATGAGGCTAAAAAGATATTACATCTTATTAATTGGGATGTTGTCACAAAGAAAAATTGGAACAAGGTGGGCTGGGTATAAAGAAAGCTAGATCTAAAAACGAAGCCATACTAGCCAGCTTAGCATGGAGATTAGCTAACAACCCGCTGAATCTTTAGGCAAATATTATAATAAAAAAAATACGAAAGTCATTCCAAATATAACACCTCTTTTATCTGGAAAAGCATTATTATAGGGTGGTCAATATGCCAACATGGTATAGCATGGTCTATACACCAAAATTCATCACTAATACATATTTAGAAAAATAAGTGGATCCCTAATTCTAATAACCTTAGAAGTTATGTGACAGGCCCCCTAAACAAGCAAGAGACAACTCTCACAACTAAAAATATTAGATCCAACAATAAGTGAAACTTGAGGAAAATCTCTTTCAACATTCCAGCTAAAATACGCCAAAAAATTATTCTATCATTTTTCCCCAGATAGTACTAAGGATACTCATATATGGGGCATTAATAATAAGGGGTCCTTCTTACTAAATCTTGCTATGATCTGATCGACAAGGAACCCCCACTACAATGAACTTTAATTGGATATGGAAACTACATTGCCCTAACAAAATTAAATATTTTATCTGTCTTTGCTACCACAACATGCTACCATGTAGAAGCTACCTAGCTCGCATAGGTATTAATATTAATGAACTGTGCACGATTTCTCGCAATGAGACTGAGGATATTATTCATATTTTTTTGAGGTGTTCCGTGGCACAAAAACTATGGGAACAACTAGGCATAGACCTTAATAACCACCACCCAAATAAGGATAACTAGCTACTATACCTTCGTGAGCTGAACCCAAGCGTATTCAACAATCACATCTTATGGGAGAACCTATTTTCATTCATTATATGGAATATATGGTTAAATAGGAACAACAATAATATTAGTAATATATCCAACAGAATCTCTTTAAAATTTATCATCAACCAAGCCACTGAATATAAGCTACTCACGGAGCGGGAGACTAACTTGGATAGGAAAATTACCATTAAGTTCCACTGGACGGCACCTCGTACAGGATGGTACAAATTAAATATAGACGGGCCTTCGAAGAAGGTTGCACAAATGGAGGTATAGGAGGTATTTTTAGGAAACCACGTGGGGATTGGATTCTAAGCTTCCAAATGAAAGCCTACTCAAGAGCACCCGTCCATACAAAACTCCATGCCCTCTATCAAGGGCTACACATTGCTCAGGAGATGACTTTATATTCCTTAAAAGTAGAAACGGATGCCACACAGGTAATTGCTTATATTAACAATGGTTGTATAACTTACGACTCTATCATTAAATCATGCAGGTGGTTAATATCCGGAATGGTCATGGTAGTGATCCAACATAACTTTCGCCAGGGCAATGAAGTGGCTCATCTCTTAGCCAAGCATGCAACTACGCTTTCTGTTTTCAATATACTGTGTCTTTTGTCTATTCCTCCACCCTATGTCATGGCCAGGATGCTAGCGGACAAAGGAGAGAATGTTTATGTTAAAACTATCTCTATTACTGCTTGTAGATATCTAGTTAAATTTGGTAATCAGCATGCAATGCATGGATTTCATCCTCTTGTACTGATTCCCATGATCATAGCTACTGTATGCTTTAACTTCTATTAAATAAAATTTTCCAGTTCATTAAAAAAAAATATAATAAGGATCAAAATCAGAATTTACCAGTAATATAAGGACTAAAAGTTCAATTATCCGTTTAAGGTAAATTTTGACTAATTAAATAACAAATTGGTAATTACCCAAAACTCCAGGGGCCAAAACAGATATCTAGAAGACAGAAAGCAAGATAGACAGAGAGGAAGGAGAAAAACCACAAGAGGAAGAGCTGTATTCACATGGGATGCTGTTTTAGCTGATGGGTCCCACCTCTCTCTCTTAATTCAACCGACAATTATTAGCTTTGAATCATAAAGTTAAAAGTGCAGACTGAAGAAAATAATTCTTCTTTCTTCTTCTTCCTCATTTCATTCTTTCCCTTTTTTGTTCTTCCTTTTTTTTTTTTTTTCCATTTGGAGCTAGAAAAATATGGCTGATGATAAGGTAACCATTTTTGCTTTCTGGGGGTTTTTTCTCTTTTTTTTTAATGTACAAAAAGTTCAGTACTTTACTTGTCAAGATAATTTTAGTGGGAATTTTTTTTTTTTTTGTGTGTGTGGTTCTTGATTGCAAATCTTGGTGTAGTGTTAGCTTCTAGCTGAGTTAATATTTGAGCATTTTAAAGGAGGTAATATATTTGCTTGTTTTGTGTATTTTTTGGATTTATTGAATCTTGAATTAAAAATATGATCTTTATCTAGTATGAGCTTGTTGACCCATTTTTCTGTGTCTCAAAATAGCAATTTTGTGCACTCATAATTTTGCATTTTCTGATCTGGTAGTGTTTTAGATATTTAACTTATGATAGTTGACCTGATCTTATTTAAGCCTTATGGGGATGCCTATTGCTATCAAGAATGTGTACCTATTAAGTGTTTGACTTGATCGAAAATAACTGTAAGCTTGTCTAAATCATTTCCTGTTGAGGTTCTTTAATATGGTTTATATAAATATATATAGTCACCCAGCCCCCAGGGCTTTGGTCTACGGGTAAGAGCATAGCTTGTGATGTGTGGATTAGGCGCACGTCACGAGTTAAATCCTGCCGCAGACAAAAGCCTGGTATTTAAGTAGGGAAGGGTAGAGGAGCGGACCCATTATTCACCGAGTTTCGATCCGTGCGCCACTTACCTTCGAGGATTTCTCGATTATTAAATAAAAGGTATATCTAGTCACCCATTGGTTTCTAATAGCAATTACCAGATTTGTCCATATCCCATGCTTCATATTTAGGATTGTTAAGTTTGTGTGGCTTATGCTTCCCCAATGATACCTTTGGTGGGTTGTGATCATTCTTGTTTTTGGTTGGATAATGTTGTATCGGTTTTAGAAGTCGCCTGTCTGAGATATATATTTGATGTGGACTGTAGGAGATGTCTGCTCCTGTTATGGATGTGAATGGTGCAGTCACTGGTCATATAATTTCCACTACTATTGGAGGGAAGAATGGCGAGCCAAAGCAGGTAAAAAGAATATCTTTGTAATTCAAGAACGTTTCTCCGTTAGAAATATTTTTGTGTGTATCTCCTATTGAGTCCTGAACTATAGAGAAATGATTTCTTATTAAAAATTGAAAATGTGTCTGGTTCGTATATAATTTGGTGCAGACAGTCAGTTACATGGCTGAACGTGTCGTGGGGACTGGATCATTTGGAGTTGTTTTTCAGGCAAGTGAGCACACATCTTATTTATTTCAGTAATTGCTGCAACGTTTATTGACTTGTCTGGTTAACTAAAAACCTGCCTTCTGTAGGCAAAATGCCTGGAAAACGGGGAGACGGTGGCGATAAAGAAGGTTTTACAAGATCGTAGATACAAGAATCGTGAACTGCAGTTAATGCGCACTATGGATCACTCGAATGTTGTTTGTTTAAAGCATTGCTTCTATTCAACTACTAGTAAAAACGAGCTTTTTCTCAATTTAGTCATGGAATATGTTCCAGAAACCATGTACCGCATGTTGAAACATTACAGCAATGCGAACCAAAGAATGCCACTCATCTATGTTAAGCTCTACACGTATCAAGTAAGTGATGTACTTTCTTGAGCAGCACTTTTCTTCCTAATCTTGAGCTATATTAAGAGAGATGCATTCAGGTATTTAGGGGGCTGGCATACATGCACACAGTGGCTGGCGTTTGCCACAGAGATTTGAAACCTCAAAATATTTTGGTACTGCATCTTTCACGTTGCTATTTTAGCTAGTACATTGTGGCCTTTCGTCTTTTGATATCATTATTTGGTTTCCACAGGTAGACCCTGTTACTCACCAAGTGAAAATTTGTGACTTTGGAAGTGCAAAAGTACTGGTAAGTCCTGATCATAAGAGTGCATTTTCGTGGCTATTCATATGTACCTTCCTAAGAATCCTTTTCCCCTTTTCCTTATTTATCCTTGCCTCATAAGGAGGTTTATTATATGTTACTCTAAACTATTGAGTTTTATTTTTAACATACGTGAATGAATGGTTTGAGCCTGGATATTTTCCCTTACATGAACATTGTTGCTCCAAATTTTTGTCAAATTCTTTTTTGTGTTAAATTAGAAAAGCGATCCTTGTTTAATATTTTTACTTTCTAAATATCATTGAAATATACCATATGGAGTTCGCATACTTCTTGTTTGAACTTTCGCCCAACATGCTATCTCTCTTGGGGGAAGATCCGGTTTACCAAACTGTTGTCTGTGAGAATGAAGTTCTCTACATGCATGTCTTGGTTGGTTTGTTGCTGTTTTCAGCCATTGCATCTTCAAGTTTACTCAGTCCAGGAATGAGTTAATTGAAGTCTGTTTCCGTTCTCCAAAAAAAAAAAGAAGTTAATTGTAGTTTGCTATTGAATCAAGCTGGCAAGCTGCTATTCAATTTTGTTCTAAACAAACAATGGTGCGGATGCCACACATTCATGAACATTACAATCGTCTGGTTTGGCATCTCTCGTTATCTGAGAACTTCCTAATGTTGATTGAGGGAAATGATTCAAGGGAATTTTATGTGCCTGCCAAAAATCTCTACGATGATGCGCCACTTGTTAATCGGCTTGGAAAGAACCTTATGTTTAAGCATTTTCTGCATGATACCATTTTGAAACAAATGTTTAGTTGACTTGATTCCCGTTTACTATATGATGCAATGGCTTTCTTTAACTTTTCCGAGCATTTTGTCATGGAGAAACTTGCATCTTCTAAGAGAACACCTCTATGGTTTCTTAAAAATTGCGGGCTTTCTTTTACTTTTTCGAGTCATGGAGATACTTGCATCTTCGAAGAGAACACCTCTATGGTTTCTTAAAAATTGCTACATGTACAAATTGAGGTTTATGTGCTTGTGACCGTACTGAGTAAAACATTCATCAGGTTAAAGGTGAAGCAAACATCTCATACATCTGTTCGAGGTTTTATCGGGCTCCTGAACTCATATTCGGCGCAACAGAGTATACTACCTCTATTGATATCTGGTCAGCTGGCTGTGTCCTTGCCGAGCTTCTCCTCGGCCAGGTTTGTAATGATCTATTATTTTTTCCTTGCTTAAGTATAGTCTGTGACGTTTTTCGTACTCCATAGTGCTGCATTAGCCTGACTTTTAACTAATTATGCTATACTTTTTGTAGCCATTATTTCCTGGAGAAAACGCTGTCGATCAGCTTGTTGAGATAATCAAGGTACAGCTTGAATAATTGTAAATCTGATCCAAATGTTTGTGTACGATTGTTGTTCACTTGCTTCAGTTTCCAGGTACTTGGAACACCAACAAGGGAGGAAATTCGCTGTATGAATCCAAATTACACTGATTTTAGGTTTCCACAAATCAAAGCACACCCTTGGCATAAGGTATATTTTCAATTGATTACAGCTTTACCTAGTGGAAGAAGTGGTTTTTATAGGTGCTTATAGTTAGTTGAGTGACTCAACTTGAGTCTATGTTTTTAGTGGACTCAACAGCAATAACAACATACCCAGTGTTATCCCACATTGTGGGGTCTGGGGAGGCTAAAGTGTACGCAGACCTTACTCCTACCTTGTGGAGGTACAAGGTAGATAGAGAGGCTGTCACCGAAAGATGCTCGGCTCAAGATTTTAGTGGACTCCTACATTTTATAATTAACCTTGAATAAATTCTTTTGTGTCTGAGCTTGTGCATGTAATTTCTCTGCTGCTGACTCACTATGTTGCCGTTGCCATGGTCTCAGGTATTCCACAAAAGGATGCCGCCTGAAGCAATTGACCTTGCTTCACGGCTATTGCAATACTCACCAAGTCTTCGATGCACTGCAGTAAGTTTTATTTAGTTATCTTTTATCTGATGTGAATTTTATTCATTACGCAAATATCTTAATTATCACAGGTCTTTTATATTCCACGATCTGTTTTTGTTGATCTTACTGGCGTGATACCATGTTCGTGCTCGCGGGATGGTTTCCCGCTCTTTATTGGATGTTGAACACCCAAATCTAACTAATTGGTGCTCTACTTTTCATTATGCAGCTTGAAGCATGTGCGCACCCTTTTTTTGATGAGCTTCGGGAACCCAATGCACGCCTTCCTAATGGCCGGCCATTGCCGCCTCTTTTCAATTTTAAGCAGGAGGTATGGCTACAACGTGCAGTCTTTAATACAATTAATCACATAGCTAACTTTTGTGCTGTAGTTACTATGGTTGGCAGCACTCTTGTAACGCCGCTGCTAATCCAGCGTTACCGTTGTTCAATTACAAACTAACTATACTGAACTGTTAGGAGTAATTAAGTAAAACTATTATGCTGATCCGACTATATTTTATGGTTTCAGTTGTCTGGTGCCTCTTCAGATCTCATTAATAGGTTGATACCAGAACATATAAAAAGGCAAATGGGCATGCAATTTTTCTCGTCCAACAACGATATGGACATGACGTGAAGTATACGATTAGTAAATTATGCTACTTGAGGATCAATGAATGAAGCGATCCGAGTTGCATCCTTTCCAACCGAATCCACCTTGGCAAGCTGCATCTCCTAGTCGACGAGGACAAAAGGCTGCTGTGTATTTTAGTTCTTGGTATTTTCTTTATCGTTCTAATCTTCGAAGTCTTTCTCCCTCCTCTTATAGCAGCCAACTAGCGAAAGGAAAGTTCTTTTTGTACATGTTTGGTAGTAGTAAATCGCGTAAGCTCTCAGGAGATGACAAATGAAATGTATGAACATGTTGTGAATGGCACCAAAAGAGAATAGCAAAGGTATTAAGGGGCTGTTTTCTTGTGAATTTGCTCTGTGTATTGTTTGTATTTAGTTTCTGTTATTTGGAGCTGACATTTGTGGGTCAAGAAAAGAGTTACAAGCAAATGATGGTTACTGTATGTTCTTATTTATTGAATATCTATTTTGTTGCCTCTCTTATTTCCTCTTTTCGTGTTTCCGTTCTTATTTTCCTGTTCCTTTTTCATCTCATCTGTTGTAATATGTAGTCTTTGTTTTGTTTGTCTTTCAACAACAATGAACCCAGTATAATCCCACAAGTCGGATCTGGGGAGGATAGTCTGTACGCATCCCACAAGTCGGATTTGGGGAGTGTAGTATGTACGCAGACCTTACCTCTACCTGGAGAAGGTAGAGAGGTTGTTTCCGATATATCTTCGGCTCAAAAAAGAAGCAGTAGCAACAAACAGTAACAATAACAGAAAAATAAGTAACTGAAATGATCGAAATAACAAGTAGTAATGGAGATCTAAGGGGACGTTTGGTATGCGGACTAAATTATTTTGGGATTTTAGTTCTGGAATATAATTCCTAGACTAATTTATACCACCGGAGAGGTGGGATAAAATAATACAAAATTTTATCGGATAAGGTGGGATAAGATGGGATATTCAGGATTAAGTCTGGGACGAAGTTTACTATATTTGGTTGACGGTATAAATTTATCCCGAGATAAATTTATACCGTCAACCAGACATAATATAAATTTATACCACACTTTATCCTACCTTATCCCGCATACCAAACGACCTCTAAGAATATAAAATACAACAATAATCTTAGCAGTACTGGTAAGGAGAGGAAAAAGTCTCGATTACCTACCCTCTTATTAAGGGTTATGTCCTTGTTAAGCTGAAGCAACATCATGTCTTACCTAATCCCTCGCCGCAGTTTTCTTAAGCCGGAGACAACGCTTTGTTTTTTTGTCTTGCATCTTGACTAGTTGGTACTTCTTACCTTACTGACACTTCTCACATTTTGACCTCTCACTATCCACCTATCTCTATCACCTGTTGGCTGTTTCAACTGAGCATCTAACACATATAGTTTCATAAATTATTTCCTAAGGATATTCTTCCTTTTGACTTGAGGATGTATTGGGTTGCATAAGCCATAATCAAAGTATAATTAAATTTTATAGATTTGTAGTTGCTTGACTTTGTACTTAAATTTTCTTTTAGTCTTCTGTTTGGCTTAAGTAATGACTTTATACAAAAGTAAAATCCAACAATAAAGATGATGTCTTGTGTCCAAGCCATCATGGACGATAGACCACGAAGGTTCTGATGGAGTGATAAGTACTTTTTCATTCAAAGGCGGGGTCAGATTTGAAGTTTATGAGTTCAGAATTTTAGTTCTTTTAGTAAATAGGTTTTAGAGAGGTCTTAGGGGTCACGAAGGGCTCTCCTGGGGGTCATATAGGGGACTGGTGGTGGAATGGAGAGGTTCAAGGTAAAGTGGAAGCTAAGAAAACTGCTTATTTGAAGCTAGTGGAGAGTACAAACGAGGAGGAAAAAAGGACTTATCGGGAGTGTTACAGAAAGGCAAAGAAAGAGGCGAAGTTAGTAGTTACGACGACTAAGAACGCGGCGTTTGCTCGTCTGTACGAGGAGCTCGGGGGCAAAGGCGGGGACAAGAAGTTGTACCGGTTGGCCAAGGTGAGGGAGAGGAAAGCCCGCGATTTAGACCAAATCAAGTGCATCAAGGACGAGGATGGCAAAGTGTTGATGGACGAGGCACTTATTAGGAGAAGATGGCAGACATACTTCCATAAACTGTTGAACGAGGAGGGGGATAAACGCATTGTGCTGGGTGAGTTGAAGCACTCCGAGAGTCGGCGGGATTTTGGGTACTATAGGCGGATTACGGTAGAGGAGGTGGAAGGGGCGATGCGTAAGATGTGCAGGGGCAGAGCGACGGGGCCAGACGAAATTCCGGTGGAATTCTGGAAGAGCGCGGGGCGGGCAGGTTTGGAGTGGCTCATGTGCTGTTTAATGTTATTTTTAAGACGAAGAAGATGCCCGAAGAATGGAGGTGGAGTACGATGGTTCTGCTTTACAAGAACAAGGGTGATATCCAAAATTGCAACAATTATAGGGGTATCAAGTTGTTGAGTCACACTATGAAAGTTTGGGAGAGGGTGGTGGAGGCCAAGGTGAGGTGGTTTGTGTCTATTTCCGAGAATCAGTTTGGATTCATGCCGGGGTGTTCGACTACGGAAGCGATTCATCTAGTAAGGAGATTAATGGAGCAGTACAGGGAAAGGAAGAACGATTTGCATATGGTGTTTATTGACCTTGAGAAAGCGTATGATAAAGTCCCGAGGGAGGTCCTGTGGAGGTGTTTGGAGGTTAGCAGCGTTTCGGCAGCGTACATTAGGGTGATTAAGTATATGTATGATGATGCTAAGACTCGGCTGAGGACTGTGGGTGGTGACTCGGAGCATTTCCCTATGGAGATAGGGTTGCACCAAGGATCGGCTCTTAGCCCATTTTTATTTTCCTTGGCAATGGATGTACTGTCGCGACAAATCCAAGGGGAGATGCCTTGGTGCATGCTATTTGCCGATGATATAGTGTTAATTGACGAGACGCGAAGCGGAGTTAACACGCAGTTGGAGGTTTGGAGACAGACCTTGTAGTCTAAAGGTTTCAAACTGAGTGGAACCAAGACAGAAAAGTGCAAATTCAGTGATGAGACCCATGATGCATACGTAGAGGTTAAGCTTGATGCTCAAGTTATCCCCAAGAGAGCGAGTTTTAAGCATCTCGGGTCTATTATCCAGGGTGACGGGGAGATTGACGAAGATGTCGCACATCGCATCGGAGCGGGATGGATGAAGTGGAGGCTCACTTCCGGTGTTTTATGTGATAAGAATGTGTCGCCAAGACTTAAGGGTAAGTTTTATCGAGTAGTGGTCCGACCGGCTATGCGGTACGGGGTTGAGTGTTGGCCAATCAAGAACTCCCACGTGCAGAAGATGAAAGTAGCGAGATGAGAATGTTTAGATGGATGTGCGGGTGTACCAGGAGAGATAGGATTAAGAATGAAGCTATCCGGGACAGAGTGGGAGTAGCCTCCGTGGAGGACAAGATGCGAGAGTCGAGGCTGAGATGGTTCGGACATGTTAAGAGAAGAAGCATTGATGCTCCTGTCAGGAGGTGTGAGAGGTTGGCCATGAAGAGTTTTTGAAGAGGTCGAGGTAGGCCTAAGAAGTACTGGGGAGAGGTGATTAGACAGGACATGGCGCTTCTTCAGCTCACTGAGGACATGACTCTTGATAGGAGGGTGTGGAGGTCAAGGATTAAGGTAGAAGGTTAGTGGGTAGTTTTTAGTGTTCACCGATAGTCTTAGTAGCATGGATGTCTCCTCATATTCTTAGATTTTTATTATGTTATGTGGTTTTGTTCGCCTCAGGTATAGTATTCCCCGTTGTTGTTATTTGGTACTGCTTATCCTTTATCTCTCCTTTTTTCTTGTCTCTTCCTTCTTTCTTCCTTTCTTGCTTTCCTTTTCTTCTTCTTTCCCTTCCTGAGCCGAGGGTCTATTGGAAACAACCTATCTACCTGCATTAGGTAGGGGTAAGGTCTGCGTACAGACTACCCTCCCCAGACCCTACCTGTTGGGATCATACTGGGTTTGTTGTTGTTGTAAGTAAATAGGTTTTAGATTAGCAATTTGTACATATTCAATTAATTTCTTAAGAGAAATAAAATGTTCGAATCAGAGTTACTACGTTCGACCAAACTTGTAACTCAAATGCTAGTTCGGCCCCTGTCTTCATACTTATTCAGAGGTCTTTTGTTTGAGTATGGATATGAAATCGTCTTTGATAGGGAGTATTTTACCTCCCAAATACGACTTTCCATCGCAAATCTAAATGTCGGACCCCTAAACAAATACAACGAATGAGAAAAAAAGAAGTCATCGTGGACAGGTTCGCACATGGCCGGATTTTCGGGGGGGGGGGGGGGCGGAAGGTGGTTCACCCGAACCCCCTTCGCCGGAAAATTATACTGAACATATAAGGCAAAATCTATTTTACACATTTATATAATATATTTTGAATCCTCTTGATACAACCCAAAAGCATAGCTCAGTGGTCATAGGAATTCAAAACTTTTGTGAGGTTGTTGGTTTAGTTCCTATTGGCCACAATCTCCTTTAGGTTTTTTAACCTTTTCTATTTTGAACACCTTAGCGTAAATCATGCCCCTACTAATTTCGCATGATATATTTGTATTTGTATGGTTGCATCGAATCTCTTATTGAATGTAAACTCTTACATGTTGAATGTAAAGGCCTTGAATTGACTAGGTTAGAGACAACAAGCCACCACCCTGTCACAAACTGGCCACATGCTTCATGATTTGCCTAAAATAGGTTACACACAATAACAAAATGAAAAGTATGATCATGTGGGACATCAGTATTTGACTACATACTATGAGAGTGTTTGGCTAAGTTTATAAGCTGGTCAAACTAGCTTATAAGCATTTTTTGGCTTATTTACGCGTTTGGTAAAATTAAAAGTATTTATAAGTTAAGTGCTTATAAGCCAAAAGCTATAAGTTGGTCTCCCCCAACTTATCAGATTTCAGCTTATAAGCACTTTAAGTTTGACCAAAATATTTACTATTCTATCCCTAAAATACTTCTTTTTAAAACAAAACTCTTCGTATACCCAGTTCTTCAGCTGCATATTATTAATTTCAGCACTTTTATCCAAACACGTAACTGTTTATTTTTTAAATCAGTTTCAGCACTTAAAAGTGCTTATCAACACCTAATGCTTATCAGCTACTCTAAATCAGCTAAGCCAAACGGGCTCTATATACTTTCAAAAAGATAAAATTTGTCTCTAAAAAAAAGGTTTGGCTTTAATATTCTAAAGTTATACACTTGTAGCGGCAGAGCTAGAATTCGCACTAAAAGAGTTAATTTATAAAAAAAAAATAAACACACGAAAAAATAAAAATAATTCAACATGCAATATATATAAATTTTTTTAAATCTAATTATACAGTATAATTTTTGGTGAAAATGGTGTTACTCTGCCACTAGATACTTGTACCGGTAAAAGAATATTAGGTACCCAATAAATAGCCAAGACGTTAATATGTTGTTTGAATAATAATAATAATAATAATAAAACTTTAAACTAATCCCAAAAATTTACCAACCAATTCTTGAGCCAAAGCAATTGTACCCGTGCTTACTTTAGTAACACATGATAGTTATTTTCTTAGTCATCTAACAATAATTTTTCATTTATATATGCTTTCAACGTAGATTGAATTTAATAATTAAACATCCATTTCAAACTCGAAAAAGATATAAGAAATCATGACATAAATAAGGAAAAATAAAGAGATGATTGATGCATTTCATTGACACTTGATAAGAAAATGATTCAACCAATTATTTAAGGTAAACATAAATGAATGAACTTCATAGTTCTATTAAATATCATATGATTATATCCCATGAGAATATCTTAAATATTTTTAAAGAAAATTTTATATAAAGCCTTAAAAAATACATATAAAAATTATATATTTATATATCGGTTTGATTCGGATTTTTTTAGTCAATACCAAACTAAATCAAATCAAACTAAATCGGGGTTTTCAATTGATTTGGTTTGACTTTTCGGTTTGGTCTGATTTTCCCGTTAGGTTTGAACACCCCTACTTTAGAGCAAGGCTTAGTAGGGATGTTCGTCGGTCGGTACAATATGGAATTTAGACATTGCGATTCGGTATTTTCGGTATTCGGTTTCTCAAAATGTTATAATACGTACCTAATTAAATTCGGTATGGTTCGATTTTTCTCCTTTCGATTTCGGTTTATTCGATTCGGTAACTTCGGTTTATTCAGTTTGAATACTAACTAGTGCATATAGTCATAGACTGTAATATTCTTAATTAAAGTACTCAAAAGTACAAAACTAAAAATGTTTGTTAACAAAAATTTTATCCAAAACCAGCAAATATCAACCCGGAGAGAGAAAATTGTACATAAAAGAATAAATTTGATCATTAGAAATGTGTCGTTACTTGCTTATTGTTAATTGATGAGCTTAGAGAATAAATGAAAGTAAAATTTTAGATTTTTTGTATCTATGTTATAATTAATAGTATGTGTATTATGTAATATAATATATATATTTCAGTACGATATCGGTATTTCGGTATTTCATTTTAAACTACCAAATATCATACCTAATACCAATTTTTTTTTTTGTTAAAAAACTTGAACCAAATATCATACCGAATACCAAATACTAAATTTTTTATTTCGGTACGGTAATTTGGTATTTACCAAATTTAGGGGTGTGCATTCGAATCGGTTTATCGATAAATCGAATCGATTATTTGTTATCGGTTTATCGATATCGATTTATCGATTTATCGATTTCGATTTCGATTTTGTCCTCTTCGGTTTATCGGTTTATCGATAAACCGATAAGAAATACTAAAAAAAAAAATTAATTTTTTTTTAAAATTTTTTTTGCCCTTATTCTATAATACCCTTTCCTTTACCCTAAGTCCCTAACCCTATTATTTCATCTACCACATTTAAGGAATGATCATATTTAAAGCTCAAGGGAATGAAGTTCAAATTAATAGAAAATAGAATTAGCCGTGATGATGTATTTTTTTATATACCGTTGGAGTGTTGGTGGCATACATTTGATCCCTTACTTTAGTTTCGTTGCATCTGCTTGTTGACACAATTTTTATGTTATAAACGGTGTTCGTCTTATTTTAGCTTCTTTTGATCCATATTAGTTAGGCGTGTTTATAGTGATATACTTTTCGTGGAATCCCGCAAATTTTCTTATTGGTGTAATCGATAACCGAATCGATAAGCCCCAAAAATCGATAAATCGAAATCGAAAAAATCGAAACTTTATTGAAACGATAACGATAAGTATATGTACAAATCGATAATCGATAAGTAATTATCGATAAGGATTAAAATCGAATCGATAAATCGAATGCACACCCCCTAACCAAATTATTGCACAGCCCTAGCCTAAAGGGACGACTTTTGAACTTTTTCAGATAGCATTACCTTAATCTAGTAGTTGCTGACACCATTTTACTGTTTCTTTTAAAAACCACCTGATTGTTCGGCAGAACTATTGCATTGTCATTGTCACCACCTCGTAGTTTACGTCAACGCTATTGTTATATATACTCTTTGTTTATCAAAACATTACCAGTTTATTCACTTCCCTTATATAAACATTAAAATTAGTAACTTCTTTATTAATCTTTACAGAATCAGTCAAACCAATATATTTCAGTTTCCAGTTGTAGGGAGACAAAAAGGTCGACAGAAACCTGGCCTCTACTGTTCCATAGGAACAAACAACCCCTTATCCCTATCTATCAAATTTCTTGATTGGCCACTCAGTGTCTTGAACATCAAGTATACTTTTCTTTTCCCTTTTTCTTTTTTTTATATAACAAATTTTATCTATTATGGTAGTAAGGCTATATTTTGCAACTAAGGATCTTGATTTTAGTACATCTGATGATTCATCAACCCTTTTGGTGTTTGATTGATTTGATTAGAACAGATTCTTTGACCCTTTTTAGTGATTGATTGATTTGATTAGACAAAGGGCTGAATCGTGGCAGTAAGAATACTCTGTCACTTACGATTAGGTAATCTTGTTTGATTGATTTGATTAGAACAGAGGGCTGATTCTGTGACCCTTTTTAGTGTTTGATATACTCTGTCACTTACAATTTGGTAATCTTGTTTGATTGATTTAATTAGAATAGAGGGTTGATTCTTTGATCCTTTTTGGTGTTTGATTGATTTGATTCAGAGCGACAGAAGGATGAATCTCAGAGTCGTGGCAGTAAGGGTCTTAAGATCTTGTTTGATTGATTTAATTAGAACAAGGTCTGATTCTTTGACCCTTTTTAGTGTTTGATTGATTTTTAATTCAGAGCGACAAAGGGCTGAATCACATTATCGTGGCAGCAAGAATACTCTGTCACTTACAGTAAGGTAATAAATCTGAATCCTGAGTGTTTTGATTGATTTATTGGATGAAATACTGAGAGAAACAATGGATAAGGAGATGGATGTACGGAATCAGAAAGTGGATGTTCCTGAGACTGTAATCACCATAAGATTGGATGAAAATAGGGAAACTGATGAAAAATCAAGAATTCGCGACGAAGAAGGAAATTCGGGTGGAAAGGGAAATGGGGTTGAAGGGAATAAGGTGAAAGTGAAGGATTTGAAGGAGGGTGAGAGTTTTTCGACTGTAATTGATGTGAAGTGCGATGCGGAGAAATTGGGAGAGGACAGCCAAAGGGTGTGTAGGATTTGTCATTTGAGTTCTTATGAAAGTGGGAAAAATGTACAAAATTTGGTGGATTTGATTGAGCTTGGTTGTGGTTGTAAAGGAGAGCTAGGATTTGTGCATTCTCATTGTGCTGAAGCCTGGTTTAAGCTAAAAGGAAACAGGTAATTACTGTTTTTTGTTCTTTCCTTCAGATTCAATCTTTTTCCAGTTTACTGTTATTCTTGGGATGATATTTTCGTTGTTTGGCTGATCAGAGGCGGATGTAGTGCATAATTTAAGAGTTTATTTGAACCAGTAATTTTGGCTCAGACTATATATATGTGTAAAAAAAGTTACTAATATAAGTACAAATAGTAGATTTCGAGCCCAGTAAATAGTATGTGTTATGGTAGAATTCCAAACTCGAATCAAGTAAATCATAGTAGAGTGAATTACATTCTTTCTGGTTGTCATAAGCAGGAATCTGATAAATTTGATATTCCTATCTTCAAATGTTATGGACCCAAACAAAGCATTTTATTGATGATTTATACCGCCGACCATAACTAGCTTGGGATTGAGGTATAGTAATAGCTACAAACAACAACAACCAACATACCCAGTGTAGTCCACAAGTGGGGCCTAGGAAGGGTAGAGTGTACGCAAACCTTAACCCTGCCTTTAAGAAGGTAAAAAGGTTGTTTCCGGCAGTGGCGAAGTTAGTAATAAGGGTATTCAAATTTGAAAGAAGTGAAAAAATATTCCCGATAAAGGGTGGTCAATATGTGTTATATACCTCTAAAACGTAATATTTTACCTATATACACAGTGCAATTTTTCGACGAAGGGTGGTCAGTTGACCACACTTGTGACTATGTGGCTTCGCCACTGGTTTCCGGTAGACCCTCTGCTCATGAAGGAGGCATAGTAATAGTTGTTAAGAAATTGTGCCTTCAAATCTTTAGCTTGACACTGAATGTTTCTCAAAGCATTGTCTAATTGGATTGTGAATTAATCCATTGTCATGCATTAGTAGCTAATAAGAATAGTTTAGTGTCTTTGATTAAGTAGAGTGATGGAAATGTAGGATTTGGTCTCTCAAATCTATCTTATGTAATCACCTACTGCAAAATTTGCTTATTGAACATCAATTCTGCATATCTGTGGTATTCTGTTTCTTTATCAAACCTTCCATCTATCCTCTGGTCTACTACTGTTATCACCAATCGAGATATTCGTGAATACTCCAGCCATTACATTAACACCTTCAGATCTGATTTCTACAAGAATTAAGAATTTCTTTCATTCTATTCTACCTAGGTTATTCTTGTGTACAAATGTGCCGCTCCTAACTTATTCCAGTCGGCGTGCTTATTTGATTAACCATATATGGTTCTATTACTTACCATGAAATGATACAACCTAAGTACAAATTGCAGAACATGAAATAACTGTGTGTCTTTTATACCATAAATTCCTGTCAAAGTTATTAGAGGATGTTATAGTCATTCGATTCTTAAACTAAGAAGCTCTTGTTTCATTAAGGAAAACCTCGTGTACAAAGCGACGTACTAAGTAATGGACAATATACTAAGCAAAATTTATTACTGATTTATACTAGTGGGTGGTAGCTTGTATGCTAAAAGTTTAAAACAAGAGAAATTACTTTGATCTTTGCACTGTGGATTTGCAATTCTATGCAGCTCTTGATTTCACTCTTCAAAATACTCACATCAAAGCATGAGGAATTATTTTCTTTGCTTTTTCATTCCCTTTTCCAAATCCCATTGAGCTGAGGTTCTATCGAAAACAGCCTATCTACCTTCATAAGATAGGGGTAAGGTCTGGGTACACATCACCCTCCCCAGACCCCACTTGTGGGATTTCACTGGGTTTTTTGTTGTTGTTGTTGTTGATGTTGTTGTTGTTCTTGTTGTTAATAACTCCCATTGGATGATAATGCTGTAGATGGTTTGCTTTGTGACGAAGAGGCGATAAATCATTAGTATCCCTTGCCAACTTCCGGACATGAAACACAACCCCAATGTTTTTTTTTCCGCTGTTTTTTTCTCCACGTCCTTCTTAGATTTTCTGCTGTAGAATCATGTTGCTCCGCAATCCAACTACCTTAATGACATGACATTCATTACCTGTACCTGCTTCATATTAGGAACGTAACTCATTTTCTTGAAACTCGTAATGGCGATTGAGTCGCTTGACAGAACATCATTTTCCTAGTATACTTCACCTTACTCAGCAGCATCTAAACAGGAAAAGATAAGAAACTAAAAGAAGGCCAATCATTCCAAAGTAGAATTCAGGAGTTTCTTGTGTTTTGGTTACTAAAATTTAGCAGTTCCAAACCAGTACCCACAATATTGATTTTGTTATTTCTCTCCTTTTAACATCTTCGTGCAGAGTGTGTGAAATTTGTGGGGAGGTTGCACAAAATGTTACTGGTGTCAGCGATAACAGATTTATTGAGGAGTGGAATGATGCGAGATCTACTGCAAGTGGTACTGGTTCAACTGAAACGAGTAGAAGTTGTTGGCGCGGGCAGCCATTCTGTAACTTCTTAATGGCATGTTTGGTTATATCGTTTGTGTTGCCATGGTTTTTCCGTGAAAATATGTTTTGAAGAAGAGCCTTTGCTGCAATGTGCCCAGGAGGTCACAGGTTCAAGTCGTGAAAACAGCTTCTTACAGAAATGCAGGTAAGGCTGCGTACAATAGACCCTTGTGGTCCGACCCTTTCCCGGGCCCCGCGGATAGCGGAAGTTTAGTGCACCGGGCTGCCGTTGTTTTTCCCTCATTAAGATCATGTAGAAAGCAATGTTATATGTGTTCAGTACTTACTGCCCGCGCAACTTTTATCACATTTGTGTTCTTTTTTGCTTGATTTGGGCAAATTTCTTGGTGACCACAGAATTTTTCGGATACTACATGTAGAAGGGCCAATACTGACAGCCAATATTGCCTTTGGCTGTAAACAAGTTTCAATATTTTTATGAATTTATTCTTTTGCATTTGAATGAATGGTTTTTTATTGAACTGGTTTTTAATGTGTGATAATCTTCTTGTCCTTTCAAATCTTGGAGTGGCATGACTTCTCTGTTTCCTTAGTGGAAACTTTCTTTTATGTCTACTTCTTACTCCTTATAAGGAAATTGTTTTACCATTTCAAGAAATTATGTGGAAAGTCGAGGGTCTTTCGGAAACAACCTCTCTATTGTCATAAGGTAGAGATAAGGTTTGCGTATACTTTACCCTCCTCAGACCCCACTTGAGGGATTTCATTGGGTTTGTTGTTATTGTTATGTGGAAGTTATGAGGTGCATGTCTTTAGGGAAATGTATATTTTAAAAGGTTAAGCTTGCTAATACAAAGAACAATCTTGACCTTTCTAAATAGACTAAAATAAAAGGGCAGCTCGGTGCACAAGATATCCCGCGTCCACGTAGGTCTGTAGAAAAACCGCATCCCAAGAGATGTGATGTAGATAGCCTACCCTAATGCAAGCACTAATGGTTGCTTTCACGACCTGACTATCTTGATTGTCTTCTTTAATATTTACTAATTTTTTGGTCCAGTCATTTCTTGGATTATAAGATTTTAATTGGTAAAGTTGGGAGTTGAGGGGAGGTGGGGTTGCATGCATGTTAAAAGTGATATTTGATTTTTCACTTGAAAAGTCAGTATGTGGTGCCTACTTCTTTTGCCTATTTAGAAAGTAAGCTCTTTTAAATGTCTTTGAATATGTGCTTAAGAATATTAATTCAGCTAGTTGACTTGAATATTATATTTATGATGCAAACTGAAGGAATTTAATGAAGAGAATATACTTGGAAAGAAGCATGATGCTTCAGAAGTGATGCCAATATACTGTAGTGATTGTTAAGTACTTAGGGCTAGGGGTATGACATAGCGGTCAATGAAGGAGGTGAAAATCTTATGTGACTAGCATTTAAACCAGATGATTTCTTTTCATACGCTTAAACCTTGTCGGGTTTGGGAACCAGTGCTAGTGAGAGATAGCTAGTACATGATAGAACAGTCAACACATGCGCAAGCTATCCTGGATACCACTGCTATAAAACAAAGAGTATATATTGTCTTAAGAAAAACTAAGCTTTTTCTTCAGTATCTCTTTTTATGTTGATGTGGACAATAAGAACTGTTCGAGTTTTAGTAAAAGAAGGGATACCAGATGGCCGTATTGTTGTTCAATGTTCATCAGTTAAAGGGGTTACGAGTTAAATTTTTAATCGGAGGTGGATTATAAGTAGATAATTAGAAATAATGTTAGATCAAAGAGAGGTCGGTTTAAAAGTGTTGACCATAGGCCAAGCGAGGGACAACATTTGTTAAGCTTGAAGTTCTGTCCATGGGGCAAGCGTGGTCAACAAATCAAGATTATCTACTTTCGAGGCCATTCTTATATAAATCACACAGATCAAAGAGAGGCCGGTTCAATTGTTAAGTGATTTGAGGAGGATAACTAAGCTGATACGTTGGAGTTGACTATTGCCACAAAAGGGAAGGGTCGTACCACAATGCAAGCAGATGTGATGTACCATTAGTGTTGGTGCTTCAGGATTCTAATGTATTGCATCCGAAACCAGAACAAGCTTGCAAGTAGACCATTCACATCCCATTACTGAGTGAGCTGGAGTGCAACCGCCTTATCCACTGAACTAGCTAGGAGCTATCACTTCAGGTCGAAGCATTAAAAGAAAAGGATCAGTTCATTGTGGGAAAATGGTTGTTCAAAAGACCTATGCAAGATGTAAAAGCCATAAAAGAAAAAGGATAGTCCTATTATCGGAGGTGAAGCTAGGATTTGAAGCTTATGAGTTCAGAATTCTTGTTCGTTTACGATACGGGGTTTTAATTAATAATTTGTACATATTCAATAGATTTTTTAAGACAAATATAGAATTTGGAACAAAGTTACAAAGTTTAATTGGCCGAACTTGCAACCGAAAGGCTGAGCCTATAGATTTAAAAAATTTACTTTGTGTCTCACACAACTGACACTAGTTGTATGAGCCTCTTTTTTGTCTCACAACTGTGCGGTCCCAGAATTTTGTGGACCCAAATGTGTAAGATATGGGTCCACAAATATGTGAGATAAAAAGAGGCCTCACACAACTAATGTAAATTGTGTGAGACACAAAATAAAACCACTCAGATTTATGATAGTATGTATTATCCTATATATTTACTCACACCCTTATATGAGTTTGCGTTTGTTCAATCTTCACTAGGAATTGAAAGGCTAACCCTAGCCCATCTCCAATGTAAATACTTTTTGGATAATAATATAGGGGTTTTGACACAGTTACCCATAAAAATAAAACTATTTATCCTTGTCTGTCCATTTGTTTTCCTACCCATAAACTAATTACATTTCCTACTCATAGTAGGTTTTGTGGGGAATTTTTTCTTTATTCTCCAATTCTTTTTTATTTCTATGCTTATTTTCTTTTCTTTTTTCTTTTTTTTCTTTTCTCCTTTTCTTTTTTCTCCTTTTCTTCTTATTTTTTTCTTTTTTCCTTTTTTAATTTCATTTAACTTCTTTTTTTTTATATTCTTTTTCTCTTCATAATCTAATTTCATTACTGTTTTCACTATTTTTTATATTATTACTAAAGAAAAATCAAATTGTGTACCAATTAAATGTAGCTAATACAACCAAAAAAATATTAACTAACATATGATATCAGTATAGTATATAGCTATACCAACAGGGTATACAATTGTACGCAATGAGTTAAAAAAATTAATTTAATTATTAAACTAAAATAATATCAGTTGTCAATAAAAAATTTAAAAAATTCTAAAAGGATCTAATTGTAAGAGTATACCGTTACATCATATAGCATACTATAATTTTTATTTTTTTCTGCATTTTCAATTTGCCCCTCACACTGGGTAAAAGCTTAAAACAAATTAAAAGGGAAAAGGCAAGTGAATTTACGAGTAATAAGTATACTATTATAGCATATTGTTACATTATCTTGCATATCGTTACAGTATACCATAACAATATATTGTACACTATAATAGTATACTGTTGCAGTATAACTATATACTCCTATAGTATATTAGCATACTGTAGCGGTATACTGTTTACTATAATAGTGTACTGTTGCAATATAGCTATATACTCCTACAACATATTGTATACTGTAGCTGTGTTCTTCTTCGATTTTCAACTGAAAATTTCTATCTCAATCACCTCGCATCTGGTCCAAATGCTATCAAATTTCAGTATGAACTTCTAGAAGGTACTATAAGCAATATTTAACAGCACCCACTTTGAATCAAACAAAAAATCTTCAAAAATAAAATTGAGCTTCAAGCCCAACAATGGTGGATATTCAAATACACACAAAAATTTAGATTTGGGATGTAATCTGCTCTTGTGCTTAATGAAGTATCCAAACCATGGCTTTGTAAGTTTTGTCCACATGTAATTCTGATCGCATGGTTCATGAAAACTACTCAATTAGAGAAAGGAGGAAGGGGCCAGAGCCTAGTTCAATTTTTTCAAATAACCTCGGTTGTGGTTATCAGTTGGTCACCTTCCAATGTATGCTAAAATTCTTTTGTACATAACAGTGATTATTCAGAGAGAATCTGTATCCAATCTTTATTTTAGTAAAGCTAAGCTTTTTGTGATTGAAGCCTTGACTCTGGGAACAACTAGCGGGTAAATAGTTTGGGGAGTATGGGTAGGAGTAGTAAATAGTTTGAGTCTGGCATTAAAGGGTAAATAGTTTGGATTAATAGGTATAAAGTGAGATTTTCTCAATAATATACGAGGTAGGATCAATGCCAAACTCCCCAGCACCAAATAAGGTGACTATAACGGGAGAAATTCAAAAATAGCCAAATTTACAAGTGGTCATTCAAAAATAGCCACAATTTCAAAAGTAATCAAAATTTAGCCACTTTTCATGTAAAGATAAATCTTAACGAAAACACTGTCCAACATAATATACTGGAACTTTCCGCGTGTTGGAGTTCCAGCATAATATGTTGGAAGTTCATACACAGGTGCATCGATCTCCAGTATATTATGTTGGAACTTTTCATGTTGCAGAAAAATACTGGCTATTTTTCAATGACTTTACAAACGCAAGTTATTTTTGGGAGAAATTCAAAAATAGCCAGATTTACAAGTGGTCGTTCAAAAATAGCGCAACTTCAAAAGTAATCGAAATTTAACCACTTTTCATGTAAAGATAAATTTGAGTGAAAACACTGTTCAAAACCAGGAAAATACGCCAGTATATTATGCTGGAGTTCCAGCATAAGTATACTTGAACTCCAGCATATTATACTGGAGTTCCAGGATAAGTATGCTGGAACTCCAGCATAATATGATGGAGTTCCAGCATAAGTACACTAGAACTCGAGCATAGTATACTGGAGTTCCAGCAAAGTATACCGGTCCAGTATAATATGCTGGAAGTTCATACACAAGTGCTCGAATCTCCAGTATATTATGCTAGAACTTTCTGTGTTGGAGTTCCAACATAATATGTTGGAAGTTCATACACAGGTGCACTGAACTCCAGTATATTATGCTGGACCGGTCTCTGTTGCAGCAAAAAAGTGGCTAGTTTTCATTGACTTGGTAAACGCTGGCTATTTTTGAATGACCCGTCCGAAAACTGTCTATACCGTGCTATTTTTACGTTATTTTTGAATGACCAGTCCGAAAATTGGCTAGCCCGTGTTATTTTTACGACTATAACCTTTGGGTGCATGACTTTAATTAAAAATAAATAAATGTGTTCAGAGATAGCGATATTGGCAACTTTGTGAACTGTAAAATTGGTAGATGTTGGTGAATGGTGATCTCTATTTCAAAATTTCTGAAAGTGGAAAAACTTTGAAATTGATTAAAATAGCTTTTGTTACTGTATAAGTTTGGCCACCATACTTTGAACTTTGTGTCATACCTATTTGGTGTAAAGAGATTAACTTCTATACATTGACGGCGACAATATATTTATAGTATCAGATCATTTAAGAGATGA